TATGTAGGCTGCATTTTTCGCCATTCATGCAATTTTTGCGAAAATTAAGTTGTCATATGGTAATTCAGATAAATCATTTTCAATCGAGAATTGATTACTTACTACATGTGTACATAGTATGTATGTTTACATTAGGCCGCACCGCCTTACAAGCGAACAAAAAAACTCCGCCGAACACCCCTGAGCCCAAAGTATTTTGGCAAGTCAATTTCGAAAAAAAAAAAAATTTTTTTTGGTCGAAACTTTTTCCATTTTTTGGTGTCACCAACATTCGGCAATATAATTTTTATTTAAATAGTTCTGCTGAAATAATCAAAAAACTTGCCTAGCAAAAGTTTGATTACTTTTTGCTAGCTTTAATTCACTAGCATTAGGGTGGAACGTTAGGATGATAAGAAGTGAGAACTGGTGGGCAAGTACTAGAACGAGGCATTTGAGGTCAATGAACTTTGGAGGAAAAAAATTGCCTTCTCGAGATAAGAACAGCGATATATCAGCCTATCCGACTGTGAATGCCGAAGAAATGACGAAAAGTGTAAAAAAGGCGAACCCCACGTTCGGCAAAAAAAATGCTCCAAATTGTCTTGCATATACTTTAGACAGTAGTAGGTTGATCCAAAAATGCATGGGGAAAAGTAAGCTAGGTATTTTAACGCTCTCACCCCCTAGGATTGTTCTATACCCAAAAAATATACCTGTTTTTTTTTTTTGTTTTTGGAATTAAAAAATATTTAGAGGTCGCTCAAAGCACTCAAAGTTTTCCATGTATTTTATATGGGAAAAAACTAATTTTCGAGGAAATGGTATAGAGTTTTTGAAAATTAATACTTTTCGATCGGAAAACTCTGTTCTTCCTCAGAAGATTTCTGATAATAATACGCAATTTTTTATTTTACCATTTTTTAATACTAACGATTTTTTGTGGGTTCCCCTATTGTATTCTTTTTGGGTGTTTTGGGGACCTATAAAAAATAGTTAGTATTAAAAAACGATTAAATGGATAAATGGGTATTATTATGGGAAGTCGCCTAAAGAGAACCAGAGTATTCCGATCGTAAAATATGGATTTTCAACAATTTTTATGACCTCTACGAAAAATTGTTTTTTCCCCATATAAAATAGTACATGAAAAGTTTGAGCCTTTTGAACGCGAACATTAAATATTTTTTGATTTCATACCAAAAATAAGTTAAAAGTAAAAAAAAAGTTATTGCAAGATTTGCCCCAAACAAACATACTTCCATACATACATACATAGAGAGCAAGTTAAGTTGTGTTATCTCTTTTCGGTATAAAACAATCCTAGGGGTGAGAGCATTGAAATTCTGACTTGTCTTTTTTTTCGACCACCCTAGTGCACAGCGAACTTTTTTTCTGGTACAATATAATGTATGTACATACGTATGTATGTGGCATAATATGAAAACAACCATGTATTATATTTACTATACACACTAGAACTAGAACTTGACCAAGCATGCTCATTAATTTAATTCTTATTAATTTTTTCGTGATTATTTTTTCTTTACAGTTTAATTGTTGGCGCTCCTAAATTCGATACCTCCACGTACCAACAGGGTGTGGTAGAGGCGGGTGCCGTCTTCAAGTGCGGCATGATTGACGGTGACTGCAATTTGGTGAAATTTGATTCTTCAGGTAAGTGAGTGACCGTTGACGAAACAAAAACAAAAACAGCTCTAATATAAAGCCAAATATTAAAAACAAAAATACGAGTGCTCAAAAAATACGCATACTTCAAGTAAAAAAATGCTAAAAAAGATATTTAAAAATGTACAACTGCACCAACGTGTAGAGTTTCAAAAAAAAAAACAAGAACAAATCAAAATATATGACCTAAGCTGAATGCCTAGAAAATTGAAAAATTCAGCATATTTTGTTAGTATGCAATGTAGTTTTTTTATTTAATGGATTTAAGAGTAGACATTTGATATTCGTGCATAAAAAGGTTCTGGCTAATTGCTATAAATATGGTCATGCAGAGCCTTTTTAAAAGCCTGCTATGTGCTAGCGTCAAGCTCCTGCTAATGAGAAAGGACCACCATAGCATTTAATAGAGATCTGTGGATGAAACTCACAGGGATTGTTCCTTGAACAATTTAAGGAGATACGTATTTTTTCTTTTTGCTCAGAGCGCTACCTTTTTCCTCTCTTGATAGCAACTTTTGATGAAATCGCTTATAACTGCCGCAAAAAAGCAAGGATTTTAACGTTTTTTTTTTTTTTAATTACAGATATTGATCTACTGAATCGATGTAGTGAACTAAACATCAGTAATTGCTTATTATTTAATTATTTAATTATTAATTAATTAATTAATTTAATTTTTTTTTTCAAATTGCCAAATTTTTTTCAAACTTTTTTGTCTATTAGGGAATAGTAGAAACTATTTCCAGTACGAGTATCAATATTCTAAAAAGTTTTCGAGTTATGATTTTTTTTCTGAAAATGCACTGATATGATGCTAGCAGATTTTCGTGCCAGTTGAGGACACAAAAATTGGTGCCCATTATGATAAAGTCTTGAAAACTTTTCCACATACAAATTTTTTGATAAAAAAAAAACTAATTTTTGGAAATATGCCATCTCAAAAAAAAATTTTGAAAATCACAATGATAGCTCTGAGTATTGCGCAATATTTAAGTATAGTAGTATGGAGTGCACTCTACAATAATTTGAGTTAGGAATTTTTTTACACCGAAGTTTAGTAAAATGAGTACATTACGAATTTACAAATTTTGAACCTTTTTTTTTTAAATTCTTTAGAACATGCAGTTTTTAGCCCATTAAATTCTAGGATAATAAATGACAAGTTTTAAGCGATTGCAAAAAGTTATAAGCGATCTCATCAAAATTTGCTATTAAGAAAAGAAATAAAATTATAGTTTAAAAAACTAAAACCTCCCTATTATAATTGCCATTCGTACTGTCACCAGGTATGTAACTTGAGAATAGAAATAGCTGCATCTTTTAGGCGCATCAATATTACCAAGTTTCATCCCGAGCTAATAAAAGGAAGGTAAAAAGAAGCGTTCGTACCCAAAAAAAAATTATTATTCGAAAAATTCGAATTTCTGAGCAAAAAAAAAATACGTGTCTTTTCGCAAACTTAAATTCACTTTCCCTCGGCCTGGGTGATTTGAGATGGAATGACCCATATACGAAAATACCCGAAGAAGTGTCCGACAACAAAAAAATCAGAATAGTTCAGAATGAAACACCAAAGCTCCTATTAAAACTCAGAAATTCACGAAAAAACTACCGGTTATTTTAATTTATTTACTTCTTTTATTGTTTTGGGACTCATTAATCAATGCCGATAGGTTCCAAAAAGTTGGCCAAAAATTCCAAAACTTTTCTAAAGAATTAAAAATAATCCCGAAAATGTTGAGAAAAGTCCCAAAAATAACCAGTAATACATATCTATTATAACTATTTTTAATAAGACATTTGTTAAAATTATAGTTGAAAATTTCGAAACTTATTGAATTTAGTGATTAATTTCCGCTCAAAATATATCAAGAAAATTGTGGCTTTTACCTTTTCTAGGAAATATAAAAACAATATCAGTTTTTCTTGCCTAAAATATTAATTCTTACATTATCTACAAAAAGGTGGTGCCAGAAGTATTTTCTGTTTTTGGTTTTCAAAATATAACAAAAAAAATCTGATAAGCATTTATTTATTCTTATTATTCTTAATAATTACCAAAAAGTAACATTATAAAAAACAAAAAAAAATACAACAACTACGAAATGAATAACAAAAGAAAACCAAATTTCATAGAAAATTGTCCATCAATCAAAATAGTTCAAATCACCGCTAATAGCTACATAGTTGGCGTATATATGTATAATGTACATGATGGGTTGATAACAGTAATTTTTTTTTAAATTTATGCAACCTAAATTTGTACAAATATACGTGTAATTAAAAGTAAATTTGTTGTTAGAATCCGATTGAAATTTATCAAGCAGTGGAGCCATTCTCACACGTCTGTAGAACGCAAAGCGTTGGCTTTGTAATTTTCATGCCACCTTAAGAAAATGTTTTTTTTTGTCTTTTACTTTTATTGAAGCGTATAATTAGCAGCTGGCGCATACCGACTTGGTTGCATGCCACACACGCCACATTATGCCACAAAGCATGGAATTTGACATAAAAGCGCTTTTAAGTCTATTCTTTACAGAGCAGAATGCATACATTTTTTTTTGTTTTTGGATCTGTCTTTGATACACTTACTGCTCCCTGTCGGCGGCGGCGGCGGCGACGCAGGCCAAGAATAAATTCATATAATTTACATTTTCACGCCAACTTACGTGACGGCGGCAAAGACATCTTCATCTGCTGTTGGCAGCGAGGTGCCTGATATCAAGCTGGCGAGCGACCCCATCTAAATCCACAAAGCCATACATACATACATACTTACGCTTGATAAAGGCGACGATAAAGAAAAAATAAAGGTAGTAATAAATGTTTCAAAGAGCCAAGAAGAAGAAGAAGAAGAAGCTAACAACATAAATGTAACAGTTGGGCAGCAAAATGGGCACAAATAAAAACGGAAGAATTTAAAAGGTAAAAATTTAAATTGAAAGCTTTCATCTTCATTTGCCACGGTCGTGATCGGCACCGGAGCTGCGCTCGCAATGCAATTGGGCAGATGGTGTCAGAGCGACAGACTCCACTTACGCACAAACACACTGGTATGCCATCAGTGGTGGCAACTGATTTATGTTATTTCAACCACAATAAAAATAATCAGAGAGCAAAAATCCATAACAGCCCACACGGCATTAGAGCGCTGCGTTCGCGGAGCAGTGGAGGAGCCGCGTGCCGTGTGCACAGTCATAGTCGCAGTCACTGCCCACGACGACCACGTACGTTGCCCACACAAAAACAAGCTGCTTACTTATCTACTTACATATTTTCGTCGATATCTAAAGGTAAAATGCCAATAAAGCGTATCTCAACGATCTTGCGAGTATCGACACATTTCACACATTTCGCAGCGGCTAACGGCTGGTGGTGGCTGGTTGGCGGCTGCGGTTGGTGGCCGGCGACCCTAATGCCTGGGCGTAACGACTGGTTGTTGTTGTTGAGAGCAGCAGCTTCAACAGTACATTCGTTGCGTCCAGTTTGCCACAAGACATGCAAGTATATACATATTAAATGAGTATGTATGTATGTATGTATGTGAGTGTGTGCGGAATATTGCATTTTTCACTTGCAAACAACTGCAAATCATAAATAAATGCACATCCGAGTAGTCAGCGAAATTGCTGCCGTGCGGTGATTTGTTGCACATTGCCATTAATGGACTGGCTGAAGCCAACAACAGCCGGCAGCAGCAACAAATGACTGCAAATGTTTGCTACTGCTGCTGGGAATATTTAGTCTGCCAGAACTTCTCTCTCAACTAGATATCGCCGCGCTGCACTCCACTCCTGTTAAATTTACAACACCCCTACAACAGCAAAGCAGCCGTCGCCGTTGCCGCCACCACCATCACCACCATCACCATCACCACCGCCGCCGCCGCGATGCTACCGCTAATTTGTGGTCGAGGCGCGGCGGCTGTTGCCATCGCGCAAACAGCCGTCAAAATCGCGCAGCGGATGCGCAAATAAAATTATACGCTTTGTAGCAATGCTGCAATTGTTGGCTGCCTATATGCCGCCATTGCCATTCAGTGAAGCGGGTGCCGCCATAAGAAAAATAAAAATTACAACGAAAGTGGAAAAATAGCATTAAAAAGCAATATAGTAACAAGGCGGTGTGGAGCGTGCGCACGCATTTGCATAGTTTTCGCATAAAGTGCGTAGAAAATTTATGCAGAACATCTTGTCGATACACGTCCGTGCCGATACGCTCTCGCTATTTGCCGATTTGGTTTTGCTGCATTGATTTTGCTACGCAGGCGATGGCGGCGAGCACTGCGTGATGTGCAGCAAGCAGTGCCGAAACGGTGCCGTCACAATGCCAACTTGGCAGGCAAAATAAAATTTAATTTCAACACTTTGTATTCATGCGAACAGATATGTTGTTGGTCGGACGGATGGGCGGATGATATGGACTAATATACAGACGGAAGCTCGGCCGTGTTGGATCGTGCGATCAGAAGACGTGTCGATGCGCTGCGGGAGACAGCGTTATAATCGCGCAAATCAATATTCATTGAGGCCATCTATGCTATATACAGTGGTCGGGTCTCGGGAATGTCGAAATGGACGCCTAATTTCCATTCTGAATATTTTTGATGGCACTGAAAATAATTTAAGGAACTATGTATCTTCGAACCTAGCTTAAAGACATTTTCTGAAATCAAATTTTATTTAGTGTTTGCCCTACTGCATCTTAGAGCTGGCAAAACTACATCCGCACAGTGTCTTGTGTTTAGTTTAATCAGCTATATCAAAATAATAAGAGCTTCCTCAGAGCACGAAAGCTTAAGCGCAAGTAAGATTAAATAATTCACATGAACGCGAACTTCTTCCCTTTGCCCTGAAAGGCATTGCCGGCTTGACTAAGCCTTTATTAGCGAAATTCAGTAGTTAAAGAATAATTAGGGGTAAAGGAACAAAACGTCGATTTCTACAACTGCATAATTAAAGTTCGATCCTGCACTTCTCCCAAAATTA